CAAATTTGCAATATAAACGAGATAAAAAAATGAATAAAAAATTGTATTTTTCAAAATTTCAGGTTGGCGATATAGTATCCATCATCGAAAAAGTGACACCTTTTAGTGATAAAGATAAATCGTGGTGGAAAGCTAAATTGACAATTGCTAAAAACGAAAACGGCAAAATTATTCTCGGCAAAAAATTTGAGGTATTTTCAAGGAATTATGAGAATTCGTAACTTCAAAATTTTAGCATACATCTTTTTAATATTACTAATGAAGTTTTAAATTTAATCTAAATTGCTAAAATCTGTAGTAATAAGCGCCTACGATAGCTCTCGGCATACTTTTTTTTTTTTAAATTAACATTTTATTACCGTGAGATAAATCCTCAGGCGAAATTTAAACTTTTCTATCGATTATATTATAAAGTAATAAGACATGTTCGGAAACATTTTCGAGAAATCTCAGAAAATTTCTGTTTTAACAAAATTGATATGTGAATTCAATATAACTGAAATATATGATATAGAGAGTACACCTAAATGGTACCGTAAAATATACACGTATACGCATTGGACAGTATGTTCAATCATTTATGCTACGTTTAGAACATTTTAGGTCGGATTATTTCCGAGTGAATGCGTCAAGATATTCGACGATAAAGCTGGACCGCCAGCTGATCAACAGCTATTTTCCGCAAAAAAAGGCGCAGCTGCCACTTCTATCAATGGTCACACTTTCTTGAAACCAACCACAAACTTAGCACCAACAATCAAGAAATCAACAGGATGCCATCCATCGCGACGAGATCGTTCTTTAGTACGAACATTGTTACGAAGACATGCGGAACGACAAACTCCGCTCGTCTTCGGGACTGATCTTGTTGAATATTTGCAGAAAACCGGTGAAGATGGTTGGTTTTCTTACAATTTCCAATCAATTCTAATTTCCTGATGATACCACCCATGTTTATTGCTAACGAATCAACAGTTATGATTTTCTCATTAAGACGCCAATTGTTTAACCATTTATTTTGAACTGTCAGCTAGTTAAATTGTTAGCGACTAATTTAATCAGAGAACAAATTATTATTGATATATATATGTATGCTTGAATATGATTATAGACAACTCACAACAAATTTTATATTCAAATACGTGCTAACGATATTACATGCCATTTTTAAAGTTATATTTTATGCCAATTCTAAATAACATTGAGAAATAATGTTACGCGATCAATTTTAACTGAGTAAGAAGCGTGTTTTAAGCATGCAATTTGCTAATATATATAAATTAAATGTTTATTAGGTACCATTAATACAGTAACATTATTTTTACAGTACCATTAATATTGAAAAAATGTGTGGAAGTAATCGAAATGCATGGTATTGTTACTGGCGTTTATCGTCAATGTGGCATACAATCAAATATACAAAAACTCAGGTTTGATTCTTCATATTTTAATGTTTGCACAATTAATTCATTTGTTCGATTTCAACTCATTTATTCTTCACTATTTTGTTTTTTTTTTCTCTCTTGCAAACTTACTAGTGCTTCTGATTATTGGTTGTGCTGTGATTTCAGGAACGGTTTCGATTCAGGGCATTTGCCAGATTTGCGTGATGAAGCTATCTTAAAGGACATTCATTCCGTTTCGTCGCTTTTGAAGCAGTACTTTCGTCAGCTACCGAATCCACTGTTCACATTCGAACTTTATCCGGAATTTATAGTAAGTTAAGTTTAGTGGAATAAAAGATAGTTATAAAATACTTGTATTATTGAATTAAAAAGAAAATACACTGAACCTTTTAGCTTGCTTATGTACATTATTTGTTGAAAATGATAGATGAAAGCCCGTTGTATATTAATTCAAATAAATCACTTGATAGATTTTTCTAATTAATACCATTTCAATCGTTTAACCTTGTATAATTTACAATAACTCATCATATCGATAAGATCGTAAACTTAATTTTAATGAAAACTATTCGTTAATTTTGGCTAATACAAAACTAATATCACAGGATGCATATGAAACAACTGATGACGAGCAAGCTAATCGATTTAAAGATGTCATTGGAAGGTTACCACGTGAACATTACAGGTAAACATCATATATTTACATCTTTCAAATAACCGTTCATTTTTAGATGGCAGAAATTTAGGACAAATAACATAAACAGTGCTTTTAATATGAAGATACTTAATGTAATATTAATTTTTGTCAGGTTGTTGTTGCATAGAAAACATTTACACCAAAAAATGTTGACTAGAATTAATAAATTCATTCAAAAATTTATAATAATCTTTTTCAAAGTTAAAAATTTCATTTCATTCAATAAATGACGACCTTTGTTTTCTGATTTGTAGGACGGCAAAATATTTGATTCGTCATTTAACCAAA